TCTTCGTTCTCTCACGACTCCATCGAGGTCGTTCTGGACCGGGTGGCATCGCAAGGTTGGTGTCCCTTTCGGTTTCGAAAAGCACGGATGGGTGGGGTGTCCTTTAAGGAATTGGTGGTTCTGTAACAGATGTTGCTTGTTCTTGAACATTTGTCAGAATCTTTTTTGCGGTTTCCATCCATGTCATGGATGTCTAACATTGCGGTGCTTCCAATTGGATGATACCGACAGAGGGTTGGTCAATAGACACCCCAGTGGACACCACTTACCTTGGCGGTGTCCCAGAAAACCTGTAACAGTCGCAAAACAAGAAGCAAATCACTCTTCTTGAACAAGCCCTTTACTGACCATCGCTAGTAGGTTGGAGGCCATCGCCAGCAGGGTTGGAGGCCATAGTAGGGTTGGAGGCCATTGCTGTTAGATGCTAAGAGTCCGGGCCCCGGGTGTCTGGGACACACCCGGGCCCCAGCCTCCAATGGTCACCAGTCCGGGCGCCCAACCAACACACCTAACCGGCTCGGCCTCGATGAGACTATCCAACGCTGGGATCTTCACAAAGATCTCCACCGCCTTCCGGTTCTTTCCTGCGGTCAAATACCTCGGGTCGAACGAACACGAAAAGGGACGCACGAAAAGGACGACTCATCATCAACTCCTCCGGTCCATGTTGGTCGTCAACAAAAATCCACATCCTCTTGATCTCGATTCCGAAGAAAACCATCCAAAAGCCTTGCCACTTGCCACATCGTTGGATGCCCTACATTGCCCTACCCACCGACCTACCCACCTATACCGGAGCCCAACCGATACATCCTCTGGGCCTTCCGGGCATCTCCCCAGCGGCGCGCAGGTCGCCGTCCTCTTCAGAGGAGGCCGCCTGCTTGAGGATCAAACCTGCCGAGCCGGGTCCGACCGCGGGGGGGGCGCGACGAGGCGCGGAGCGCGGGGGGAGGGTCCCACGGAACAAAGCATGTGTGAATGGAAGGAGAGGAAGAACCAGAGTGGTGATTCACCAGAACCAGCGATCAAACCATGTTTTCATAGAAAGGGGGGAGCCATAGGGGAGCCATTCTGAGACCTTTGGCGAATCACAGGGCGAGACGTCGGTGACTCGCCGATTGATGGTCGATGCACCACCTCACAAAGTGCAGCACCACTGTATGATATTGGCACAATCTACAGTGTTCATGTGAGGTCTAAGTGCACAAAATGATATCCCACCAAGTGTTCGCAGAGTTCGTGCTACATTCCAAGCCTGAAAAACAGCAACAATACTGGATGGATCTGCATAAAGATGTATATAAAGTAGACTCCTCCGTTCCCTCCAAATCACTCCGCGCCCCCATGCGTGCGCATGCGCGGGCGCGCGCTGCCGCCTTGCGCTAAGGATTCCTCCTGCACCATCGGGTGCCGAAGAACATCTCTACAAACTGGGGGCATCCACTTTCCGATACTTTCCGGGTCCGGACCTGGCCCCAAAGGGCCTTTCATTCAAAGAAAAAAGAAACACACCAAAGGCCGGGTCGGGTCGGGTCGGTCTTCGGCCCCTGGGGGGATATCGGATGAACGGCTGCCTTTAAGGCAAAGCAATGAGAGCGAAGCAATGAAAGCCAAGGAGCTTCGAGTCTCTCGAAGACGATGACCAAACCACCACTGCACATATAGATGTGTTGTGTTAACACTGGTTTTATTGTAAACTCCATCCATTCTCCTCAACCCAAAGGTTGTCATACCACAGAAGCGAATACAATAAGGTGTGTAGCCCAGCAAGGCATAAATCCCTGCCATGGTTTGGCGGACATGTGGTCTCTGAGTCACTAGTCTGGATCATACCCAGAATGTCATGGCAAACTGTGGATCACATGCCTAGCAGTACTCTCAATGATCCTACGCTGTCCTCATCCTCATAATTGTTCGATCAGTTTGTTGGAGGTCCATGGGTTTCTTCATGTTTCTTCCAGGTAAACGAAAGTGCATAGTATATATAAATGATATACATGATGGTACATGGGTCCCGAGGACAATATGAGGATCTCTGTCGCAACCTTTGTGGCGATGAAAAGGCCTGGTCTTTCAAGGGCGAAGCTGCAGCTCACTACCTGGACCCCTTGCGGATTTGCTGTCCAAGAGAAGATGGAAAAAAGCAAAGCTAGGTTAAGCTAAGAAATCCTTTTTCCAGAAGGGGAGTCATTCTGATGCATTCCTTATACCAACGTTCATCCCTCCACACCAACGGAACCGGTCCTTCGGGTTCGGACGAAAAACGGGTCCTTTCGGAACGGGGCTAGCCCTTCCGTGTCGGCTTGGAGTCGCCCAAAAACCATGGATCGGCCATCCGAACCTAACAAGTGCAAGAAGCTATAGCTATAGATGCTAACTATAGGGGGGCATAACGAAGCTACAAAGGGTAGCCGCAGGGCCAGAAGCTACGATCGCCAGACGTCGCCAGACCGTCCCCGACGTGAACCACGTCGCTTCGTCTCTTCGTCGGTCCGATGGCGCCACACGACCAATCCCAGACACGACCGCCATCTGGGACTGCCAGGACGGACTGCCGCCCCAGACAGACCCCCAAAAACAACCACCCCTGGCCGTTTTGAAGGCAGTCCGGACTGGCAGTCCCAGATGGCGGTCGTGTCTGGGAATTGCTTGGAGGTGAAAATCCAGAGAACTCGTGGCTCTCCGATCGCCAGCTCCCTGGTCTTCCGAGGTTCCCCGCCTTTACCCCAGCCATGTCCAGCACACCCATACACCGAACTACCTACACCCACACACCGAACTCTTCATCTCTCTTCCCTTTGCAACCCTAACCCCATCTCCATGTCCTCTGTGAGTTTTTCGGCTCCCCCGGCCCGCCCCGCCCGCCTGAGGTGGTGGTGGCGGAGGCACCATCACACCCCCGCCCGCGCCCGGCACTGGCGGCACGCCCGGCACGCTGGGCGTCGCCAGCACCTGCCGGCGGGACACGGAAACGCCGGACACATCGGAAACACATTGGGCTGGGTCCCCCGGGTCTTCCTTTCGGCTAAGAAAAACGAGCCAAAAGGTGGGGGGGAGACTAGGTTCCTTGGGTTTCGGACCAGTACTCAGTACTGGGTGTTGGAAGTGGGCGTTGGACACCTGGACACGGGCTCTGTAGAGCATGTTCGAATGAGCAAGTGAATGTCATGCCAATACCGCACCAACCCACCAAACAAGAGTTTCTGAACCTGCCAAAAGTGTCTGAACTCGAAAAAAACAGTTTCTGACCCCGACAAAACCCAGTGTCTGAACCCGACCAAACCAGTTGCTGAACCCGACAAAATCAGTTTCTGAACCCAGGACGTTTCTCAACCCGGGGTTGTAGCTACAGTACTGCACATCCTTCTGCGCCCTAGTTTCTGAACCCGGGCCAGTGTCTGAACATTGTTCAAGGTGCTTCAAGGGACAACTTCGCTGTTCATGTGAGAACAGCACCACAAAACCCGATGTTGATTCCCCCAAAATAGCTTGACAAGCTCCTTTGTCTCTATTTTTGTATACAACAATCTGCTCTCTGACTTTTTGCGGCCTCCTCTGCTGGCAGGGGTGGCGGCTTCGGTGGCCCAGCCTGCAGCTACAAGATCTACACAGTGCAAGTTCCGGATCAAGCGCTGAGGGGTTTGTCCTTGTATTGAACAATACCCTACAGGTCTTACGGACCTCATTTGACTGGGTCCGGTCATGCAAAACCGGTAATTACTCAATGAGGCAGCACCAGGTTCAACTTGGCCCAAGGACTTGTAGGGAGACGGTCTTTGCCACTTACAGGTGCCACTTGTATTGTAGTTGCATGCCACCTTGCGTACTACTCGCATACTACTACTGACATAGTCCGTCCTACTTGCCTTCGTTGGCACCTTGGCACCGTCCTGAAGCTCGCATCGGGTCCTTCGCTGTTGCCATCTGGCCAGCTGGGGCAACTATATAGGCCAAAAGACAGGCCACGTCCAGGCCGTGGGTTCAGATGGCAGAAGAGCCCAGTCCAGGCCCTCAACTTGGCGGGTAGATGGCGCCTTGTTTTTGGGACCTCCATCTCAAAGACATCGTCCGGACAGGGGGTGCCAGCTGCAATTTGTTGGTGCCATCTACTCCACTGAAACCAGAACCATCAGGGTAAGAAGGGTGGATGACGACGGGCCAACAGTGGGCAGACATCTGAAGGAGCTCTGTGTCAACCAGTGGCCGAAGCGGGTCAATCCCCTTTCAGAGTGGCAAGCGAGAGTGTCAATATGGAAAACTGAAAAATAACGTGGCACAGCCCTAGAGGCACTTTCAGTTCTGGAAGTTCTTCCAAAGAACCACAAAAACCAAACCCGACACAGCAAAGGGTGCTGTGTGTGTTCGTGCTTTAGACTTGCTTCATCGCATGCAAATAGCTTCTTGCAGATGTGGAGGCCAACGGCTTAGACCCCGCAAGCCATAACCCATCAACACTGTTCAGAGGAGCTGGTCCCACGTTGCTCTTCATTCTGAGATGAGACCTGATGTCTTTGAACAGCTTTAGACCCACATCCAGAGCTTCAGAATTAAACCCTGAAATTCATTGAGACTCGATCGCCCGCGTTTCGCGTTCGCCCCTACAAAAGCGTCTTCTGCTCGTTCACCTTCTCATCTGCTTCCCTTAGCCCTCCAAACACCGGCTCCCCGCCTTCTCGCCCTGCAGCGCCCAGTGTTTCGCTTCCTCCCATTTTCGGAGCTCGGTGTACCTCCGAGCCGCGTTCGCGCCTTCTTTTCCGCCTTCCGCCGCGATGCTCCGCGATGCGCGGAGCTTCAAGCCCAAGCATCGAAAGCTTCGTCCGAAAGCTTTGATGGAAAAAGACAAAGACCCCCAGCATCCCCTGTAGCTATTATAGTACATAATATAATATATATATTATATATATTATATATATATATAATATATCGTTTACAGTAAATATATATAAGATCATGACTGACTAATATTATGTCCTGCACCTGATAAAATATGATCCTTCACCTTATCTCTTCCATCCTTCCACTTCACCAGTTCCAACCAGGACATGGTCCTCCCAACTTGCACTGTGCGCGGCGCACATCTCCACCGCCGCGTGGAAGGCTCGTGCGCGGCCATAGTGCTGGGCCGCTTCGGCGTACTTCCCCTGGAAGGCCAGAACCTGCGCTGCTGAAACGCGTTTGGTGGAAACCTGCACTGCTTCGTTTGTTTGATAGACTCAAATTGACGAAACAACAAAACTGAAACCCGTTTTGTGAAGGAGGAGGGGTCTTTGCTACTCTGATACACGGCCCAGAAGTGGAATCTAGAATGGAATCTTGAGACTCTTGGCCTGAACTGAGTGGAATCTAGCTGCCAATTGAGGCCAATTGTGAGTTCTTTTTCACATGTGTTCACACAATCTCTTTTGGCCACTTGGGGGAAGCTTATGGAAATGTCATGAATTGTCTATAGCCTCCGTCTCCTTTTCATTCGTCTTCCAGGAAACGTCGATTCAAAGCGGTTTGTTCAATGATGTTGAAGCCTCCAAACAGACTGTTGAAGCTTGGCGACTTGGAACCATTTCGGAACCGAAGGAGTTGGCACGTTGGCACCAATCGTTGGAGCGTCGTCTTCCTCGCCTTTTCGCCGGGAAAAAGGGGTCGTGGAGCTTCATGTGATCTCTCTCTATAGACACCGGGTTGCGGGGGTTGCGCGCAAAAACGCAGCGAAGTGAACCTGATTCTCACATCATTCAGGTGTCTCAGTCACTCGATGCAGCGCGGTCCATCTGGCAGCGTGCTGCCATTTCTACTTGGCATGTCTCATGGCGCGAAGAACGTGAAATAGATCCACAGCAACGTCATGACGTGCTTACATATAAGGACTTTCTGCCAACTTTCTGCCAAAAGAATCCCATTCCGCGTAGGGGGGAGGTGGAAACAAACATGAAAAAAGGATCAAAAAAGGCCAGACTTGTTCGACTGAGGCCCTTCAAACCCTTGCCCTGACCGTCCGCCTGAGCAGTGATGAGCATTTCCTCATCATGTGTCAAGCTGGACTTCTGCCCGTACCTACATGCAGAATGCAGCCATAGCAAGAAGCTACTAGTAAGTAATAGGTGCATTACTACTATAGTAACAAGAAGCTACTAGTAACAAGGTGCATCGCTACTAGTAGCAAAAAGCTCATGCGGAATGCAGCCATGCCATGCCATTTTTTCATGCATGAAGGGGCGATGCCTGTTTGAACGTTCAGAAGTTCCGTGGTACATCAGGGAACACCTTAATAATACAATAGTAATAATAAAATTAATCATATCATGTTGTACATAATGTATCCTCACTTGTAGGCCTTCCAAGTGACCAAATGTGAACAAGACATGATTTGTCCATACGTTTCCAACTTGTTTTGTCCCAAACATCTTCACCGCCCCCTTGTTTTTGACCGCTTGGCTCCTCCCCCTTGCTCACCACTTCTTCCATGACAAAAACGATGGACCTTACTCATTCGCACACCCTGTCCCACCCGGTCTCTGGAGCACTGCTGAGTGATGCGATTCAGCAAGTCAATATACCTCGCCGGCCGTTTAGACCCCGTCTTGTCCACGACCACCGCGCCACCCGCCCTCCGCCGTCGCGCGCTGGCTCTGGCCACCTCAATGGTCATATGATGTCATATGACACCATAATAGGAACCCATATGACTATCTGACTAGATGACCCGAGTCTAGGAAAACCTCAAATTGCATCCAACTTGGTTTATTACAAACTAATGCCGTATGTCTCAAATCACTCCTGGGAGACGAACCAAGCAGAAAGATTCCACCCAAACAACACCCTTTCCGCGCCTCACATCGCGGATACGGATGAAGGCCTAGCCAGGTGGGCGATGCAGGACCATGTCATGCCGCAATCTGTGGCCCAAGCAAATGTGTCCAGTGTTTGGGGAGGCCATGTTTGCCCATGTTAGCAGCGGAGGCCAGGGAGGTGAGGACAAAACAAATTTTCCCTCAGTTTCGCATTCATCTCAACAGCATCAACTGAAAACATCCGAAACACCGCCGAAAAAACCGCCGAAACACCGCCCGCCGAAACACCGCGCCGACGTTCCGCGCATGGTTTTCGGGTGTTCGGACGCCTTCCGGGCAATGTCGAAGCGAAGGCTTTGCAGCGCATCCAAGGCCAAGAGCCTCCAATCCGCCTCTGTCGGCACCCCGCGGCTGTCGAACAATGGCGACGGTCATGGAACGACGAGCGGGCGGTCCCAAACAGGTGGGTGGACGGCTCCAAGCGAATGTCGCATGTTTCTCAGTGGCAACCTCTTGGATTTGTTTAAGGAGCCTGAAAAAAACACCAAGAAACATCCCCACAAGGGGAGTTACCCATAGGGAGAGTAAAGAATCACCTTTTTGCATAGAACCCCAGTTTTTTTCTTTTGGCATCCATTCAACAACACAACTTCCAACTTCTCCACTGAACCCTATCAGCGGTGACCGCATCAGACCGCATGTCCACTATCAAGGCCAGCATCCAAGTGCGAAAATAGAAACGCCCACCTCGGTGACACCCAAGCAGGCCACGCGGTAGGCGGTCTCAAAGTCCTAGAGCCAAAGGCCCCACCCCAGACACGACCTGTTTGGGACTGGAATTTTAAACATACATTGGCGTATCTTGGGGTGGTTGAAATGGGATGAAGAGGGGTCAATTGATCAGCGCGTGTTCCAATCCAAGACAGGTCGTTGACCTAGGGAAATCTGTCTCGCACGTCGCCGTCAATCTGCAGGGGAGTCATGTTATTAAAAAACAAAGTGTCCCAGGTTTGAAAAGCACTGCCACACATGTCTGTCGCCCCATGGGCTATGCGGATGCATATATATAAGTGAACAACAAGTCCCTCACCCTGAAGTGGGCGAGTGCTACACTCTGACCCAACATGCAAGTAGAAAATGGCCCATGTGAAGACCAGCTTCCTTCACAAACAGGTGGCTTTCCATTTCCACTCCATGATTTCCACTCAACTTTTCCGCGGCCAGGGGCAGGATCTATGTTTGAAAGTGCGCACATGTTCTGAAAAAAGAAGGGATCCAGTGAGCGACTTGTCTTTCTCACTCGACCTATCCGTTCAATCTCAATGGCACCATCAAAGATGTCTATTGCTGTATCTGGCCATCAGGAAATCACAAGCCAAAGAGTTTACTGTAAGGTCATGACACATGTTCAAAAAAGCACGCAGATAACAACAAGCAATGTGCCGGCGGAGTTTCTTTGGGTAAGGCGTGTGCGGAGTGTCAAAAACTTGCCATGAATAGTTTCACAAATTTGCACGTGGGCCTTGTTACTTCTGCTGCAAATACAATGTTGTCCTCCTTTGAGGCAGCGAGGGCTGACTTCTGCTGCTGCTCGGAAAGGCCGCCGAACACTTGCTCGTATCGACGAAGCGACGCGAGGCTCTTCCACCGCCATTGCTTCATCAGCTCTGCGGGGCTTCTCAGGCGCTCCAGCATTGCTGTTGAGCCGGACCCATGACGAGCCTGGTAAGCACTGTTCATGCCACAAGATCGTCTGCTTTTTCTCGAAAAAGATCGCTCACTAGGGGCAGGGTCACGTTGAAAGCAAACACCCGCGCTGTTCTCTTCTCACTCTTTTCTCAAGTTCTGGTGGTCCATGATGATCGCCTCGTCCATTTTCTTGTCTTGCTCGGCTCTGCGTGGCCTTCGAGGAGCGACGAGGCTGGGAGTATCACCGACCAACGTCGATTGTCCGCACTGGGTGGGATCACCTGGTTCCACTTCAACTTCTAGCTTTCACCCGGACGACAAAGTTCCCACGTCAGGGCCAACCAAACGCCCACCATCTTCTGCGGCTCCTCCATCACAACATACCTGATGCTTTCGGCAAGCATAGGAAAGGGCAGGGGTAACTCGGGCTAGAGACGGCGCAAGTTTCCGATACCCCGTCATTGCTCGCCGGCTCCGTGAGAACCGCCAATTTGGGAACGTCGTTCCGGTCATACTTGAATACTTGATTGCAACAATTAGAGTCATTCCACTGGCTATTCCCAACTGTTGTCCCTGACAAAGCGCGTGAACACCTTCATCGCCATCTGATAGGTTCTCAGCCGAGCTGCACTGATGGACTTGCTTCGCAGGAAGGTGATCTATATCTGATCGATCCTGCCTTTTGGTCTCACGTCCCCGTACTTCTTCACTCTCAAAGATGCCCGCTTGGCCACCGTGGCCCCCAAGCCCAAACCCGACAACGTCATCTGCTCTGACTCGCTCTCTCTGCATTGTTTTACTGACATGCCCCGAGGAAGCATCTTGTGCCAGAAGCTTCTCCAGTCCGACATGAGCATCAAAGTAACTAATGCCTATCTAATGCCTGCTTCTAGAGAAGGGGCCCAAACCATTGATTTGTTGCAAGTCTGGCGTCAACTATCATTCTCTGCTTGCCGGAGTTGGCCAAGCGCCGCACGAAGTTCACATACCTTGCTTTTTGATCTCTTCAAGATCGGATCCAAGTATGGTGCCTTAAGCCCCTCAAGTTCCTTCCCAGCTGCTGCTTCCCCTGGAGAAAGAGATCTATCACGCAAAACGTTCAAAATCCTACGATGGTTTTCCAAAGAGGACGAGTTACCATCAACCGCTGGCGAGGAAATCAAATCCTTTCTTGTCACCTGTGCTGTTGTCCTTACCACCGCCTGGTCCTTTTTCACTATGGAAGTACTCAATCAACTGCAGCACGGCAGCCCTTCGAAAAGACAGTTCAACTCTGCACGGGTTAGACAAATCGAGTCCCCATGAGTCGGCATGCAATCCATGCGCCTGCGTCCGCTACCTGTGATGGTCAGTTGGCCCACCTTTTTTTTCCGATTCATGAGTTTGACGCACCAAATTTACCAGTCCTTCACCTCCTCTTCAATGGAATCACAAGTGACTTCCCGCCACTGTCTCTCTTCCCGTTTTCCATCCTTGAAGACATTTGAAGACCAACTGCATCAAACGTGCGTCAGCAGCGGCCTCTCAAACTCCATACAGTGGCACATCGTTGTCAGCAACTTTCCTGATCGCATACCAGTGAGCGCCTGGCTGCTTCAAGCCAACTTCTCCATGAATTGCCTTCGAATCATCTGGGGCCACCAAACCACCACCACTTGTAACCATCTCCACCTACAGCAGCAGCCACCACCGGCACGGGTGGCGCGGCCACAGCGGGGAAAGGCTGGGGCTCTACCTGCGTGTTGCGCACCTCGTCGAGACTGATCCATCTCATCTGCGCCAGGCAAATCCTGAAAGCGGTAAGTGTTGGCTGCAGTCAAACCATATGGCAAGCCTCCGTCAAATCAATTTGGGAAAGACGTCCAGGTGTCATCATCGTCCGCGTTCACATAATGAAAGAACAAAACACTCATGCCAAAGCGCAGGCGGTGGTGAATCACAGCAAAAATAAGCCCGTGAACCTTGGAAGCGACATGTTCAGCTCCTGTGAGCTCTCCTCCTCCGGAATCTCCCAGCTGCTCTCTTGCTCTGTGTTCGGTGTTCGACAACTGTATCCTGGATAACCCAGAGCTGTGATGTTTCAAGCTGGGAGTGGTCGCCTGTCACCAAACAGGGCCTTATCCGATCCCACAGCCAGCCAACAAACTTCAAGCCCTGCACCAGGATCCCAAATAGCACAAATAAGCAAAATCTTCATCGCTTCCCACCACCAACTCGGTCCAACACAAGCTGTAGCCAAACACTTGCAAGTGCAGTGGCAACTCACCGGCTCCCTCCGGTCAAGCAGCCACGCTCATGCTGCCCCTAACAAAACCCTGCCACATTGAACTTGAGCAACGAAGGCCACCGGCACGGCCGCTCTCAAGAACATTCACGTGAACCTGAGCGAAGCAAGGGTCATGTGATGTGTTCGCCGGAGTCTTCAAACCCGGAGACCTCCCAGGCAACGACATGGAAGAAGAGACATAGACCAGGACCAGGGGGCTTTACCCCTATTTAAACACACATCCAAGACAACCATGTTCTCCCCGGGGAACTCACTTGAAAATCAGCTGCCATTCACAATGGGATGGTGAAAGAGTCCATGATTTTGCACGATACCTTGAGGTAGCTGGTAGCTCAAACAACACACACATCACTATACTACAGGTGGTGCTCGATGATGGTCATATCCTCTAATTACAACGACAATTACAATGACTATGGATAATCATGGATAATCCATGATAATCCTCCATGTTCACTTCTGGACATCTTCCTTTGCACCTGAATTTTTCATGGTAATCCTAAACTTCACCTTTTCCTGTCCCAAAAAATGTGTAGCCCGATGCCACTGCATCCAACTCACTTGGGATCTGCCCTGGATGTCCTTCTTCTCCATGTATCTGTACAACGATGCGCTCTGGGGCACATCAATGGTTTGCATCGAGATGTAATGCCTTGGACGACCAACGGCCCGCAGAAAAAACCCTAGGGAGGCGGGCATCCACCATCTCACCGCGCGCTGTTTGCAGACTGTTCGGTTTCTTGCACCAACATGCGTTTATCCCGCGGACTTTGCAAGAGAAAGGTATCCCAGACTTTGCAAGACTCAAATGCACTCAAAGGTATCCCATTTGGTCTCCCATTTGGTCTCCCAAATGTTTCAACTCCACGGCCCTCCCGGACCCGAGGCTTCCCCCTGTCACCCAAAAGAAGCAGAGCGGGCATCCGCGGGGGCAATCAGCTCATGATCACCGGGTGGTAGGTAGGTCTTGGGAATGTTTGGGATGGGATTCCAGAGAGTTTCCTGGTTTGGGGTTCTCTGATTTTTGCGGGTTCTCTCAGTTCTCTCGCCCCGCGATCTGAGTCGGACATCTCCGCACCACCAAAAAGCCCCCCCTTTCTCAGAACCCGAAAATCGCTGGCTGCCCAACACGGCAGTCACGGCAGCTGGTTGGGGTGGGGTCAGCCCGCCAGCCCCCAGCTGGTCCAAAAAAAGAAGGAGCTCTCAATGTCCTTCATACCGGTCTATCCCAATACCTGTAACCGTGTATGATGATGGTTAGTAAAGGCCTTGTTCTAAAATAGTCATAATTGTTTGCTGACTGTTACAGGTAATAGGACAGACCCAACATATGATGCCATCCACACGATTGAAACGTCACAACCTATCCAGGTCTATCAGACGGTCTATCCATGACCCAAGACCAAGAGCCCAAGCCGCCGCGGTGCCCAGTGACTCCACCCCACGTCCACGACTCCGCGACCGTGCCCAGTGGCAAGCAAAAGATCTTTGAGCCCTTAAAGCCCACCACGAAGCCTCCGCACGGCACGGCACGCGTCCAACGCACGCCGCAGCACGGCGAAGAGTGGCTGGTCCCGACCATCGGACGGACTTTTCGCGATGACGAGCAAAAAAGCCGGGGGGCTGGGGGTTTTCCTGGGAGGCAAAGAAGATCAAAGAAGGTTGGACGCGGATGAGGTTGGCACGTAGCTCTTCTCAAATCCTTTTGGTCATCTGTTCCCAAAAGCACTTTCGGCATGTCACATCACTTCTCCTTCCCAAAAGCACTTTGCTGGGTCTTCTTGGCCGAAAGAGCAGCAACAAAAAGAAACAGAGCCCTCAAGACCTCGATGCTTTGCTTCACTCCCCTGTCCGGCGCCCCTCGGCCCGGCCCCGGACCCAGTGTCCTTCGCGGCCTCGGTTTACGCGATGTTTTTCGCAGCACGGACGGTCCGGTGGGGCGCCTTGCAGCTTCTGCATGTGCGGAGGGAAGTTGCCCGTCTTGATGCAAAGCATATTGCTACCGCTATACGCGAGCATGTCCTGCGTAAGAGCAGACGAGACCCGAAACACCGAACCAAGCCGAGTGAAGAGTGATTTCAAACCGCAGCCTGCTGCTCGAAGCGGCGAGCAGACCGGAGACCGGGGCGTTTGGATCAAAAGATCACTCCTTCTCCTTCTCAGCGATGTTACACCTCTCTGATCCCACAGGAACCTGAAAACTTCGGTAAACAGCGACGATCGTCGCTGGCTCTTGCTGCATCGGACGTCCTCCATCTCCGTGTTCCAGGCCACACTGTTGGCGTTGGGCTCCTGGCGCGGCCGCGACAACGACCGGACTCCCAACGGCTGCGACAGGGTGCGTGTCCAGTGGACCTGGTAGAGCAACTGCTGCGTGTCCAAGTCGTACCTGGTGGCGTGTTCGCACTGACACGCACTGACGCAGTTACACCCCACAAAATGTGGGAATCAAATTCAGGTGATGATGTGTGATGATCTAGAATTTTTCAGCCAGTGCCTGAGGTATAAATGAACTATGCACCATGATTCGACCCCTGAGATCTCACTGCAGATGCTGGGAACCTCCGTGATTCTTCCTTCCTTCGCTTTCTGTTTTCAAAAAAAATGGACATCCCAGAATCCCAGTCAGTTCAAAGGTTGGCAGCAATTGCCTTCAGAGATTCAGAATGTAAAGATTACATGTCAATAAGCAAACCTTGGCCATTCTGTCCGCACATTTCCACCAGAGCACACGAGCAGGTTCGAAGTCTCATCCACCACTGCCAGCTTCTTCCGCCTGAGACGTCGCCATGCGAACCCACCAACCCTCCGACCTACTGAGGGAGACCTTGCGCCCGCCGAATGGACGTCCTTCGTTTCTCCAGCAAACTTGCCTTCGAGTGACCTCCGATCGGGAAAAAAAGAAGGAAGGCAAGGATTCCTTATTGTTCTTTTAACAACTTCACGTCCCTTCCAAACATCCGTGTCCCCCCCCCCTCGGTCGGTCACCCTCGGCATGTCCCGGTCGTCTTGGACGCCCGACCGGCAGGAGAGGTCGAGGCACCGCACCGCCGTGGCCTTCGCATAGGAAACGACGCGCGAGTTCGGCGATGAAGCGGGATGAAAAAAACCTCTAGGTGAAAGATGAAAGTCATAAAAGAGGGATCCATTACCAGGACCCTCCAAGGGGTGCCCTGTCTGGAAGCCTATAGGTAGTGTGGGGTAGTCCATTGGACGCCCCTGGAGGGTCCTGGTATGAGCAATTATGAGCAATTCCAATGTGTTGGTTCTTTTCTTGCCCATAGGATCTGGGGGGTCGAATGCTTTGCAAAGGCATTTCGACTCTGGAAGGAGAGTCCATTTGAGGGGGTTGAGCCATTTGAGTCCAGCATCTTTCTGTTGGAGCTTCTCATCTCCTCGCAGACCGGTTTTCACCTGGTTGCACCTCTGGACGACCCCCTGGTGAACAACCATGGTCTGTCTATGTATGGCCGCCATGTTTTTTCGCCCGGGGAGACACTGATCTGGTTGCTTTCTGATCTGCGTGGTCTGCTTGTCTTTCGTCGTCTGCATCAACCAACTGGGCACACGTCATGAAACACGTCACGAAGCCTTCTTCTTTCCGATGTGATGATCCAGTGGTCCAGTGGTGCGGAAGCTACCTCTGGCCAAGCCATCCATTAAAACTCATTAAAACTCATTAAAGACACATTAAAGAGCATCTTCCTGCCTCCCTTTGTGATGGTCCTCTTGAAAGTCTCTGTTTATCTTGGGCAACCTTTGGACTTGAAACCCACGCCCGGGCCACGCCATTCTCCTGAAAACCTCCACTGAACCCTTCCGACATCTTCAAAAAAAGCGCTTCTGAGCTTGGAGGATCCCTTCGAGGCCCCAGGACCTTGACCCGTCTCTGCTTCGAAGAGCGCCCGGTCGTTGCGGCGCGCCCCCCCTGGCCTGCTTGATGAGGGTCACTGGAAAGGCATTGTCCACGAAGATCTTCCTGGAAGGCATGGCTTTGATTCGCATGGCACGACATGGCACGCGGGCACGACCGAGTGGGCACGACCCGAAGCTTCCTGAAGGCGACATGGAGCAACCCAGGGCCGGTGGACGCCCGAACCGACTTCAGACGGCTCGGTCGAGCGGGGCACACCACGGCAAACAGCCGGTTGGTTCTTGTGGGTATCACACCAAGACAACCCCTGTGTTTTCCGTCTTGACCAACATAGGAGAAAAGACAGGCCACATCTTCAACTCCAGCTTCACACAATCCTTGCGCAGGGGCCATGCACACATCTTCTCTGTATCGTTTCAATTCGCTCTCGGATGATCCTCCCTCAGGGAATCCTTCTCAGCTCCCTCTCTCTCCCTCCCTCCTGACGAAGCACCAGATCCGACATCAGAACCAGAAGCAATCATCCACCTCCGCAGTGCCTTCGACCTCTTCCCGCCTCTTCCAAACCCTCCGCCAGCCTTCCCAGACCCTGAGCGCCCGCACATCACGTGGCCGTTCTTGAGCCCCACCAGGAGACCCTCACGCTTGGGGGCTCCACCCACCACCTCCGAGCGAGGTGAGGCGCCGTTTCTCTTGTCATCCACATGGGTTCTCTCGTCATCCAGAAGGGGAGTCAGTTGAAACAAACTCGTTAGTTTAAGAGACGAGTTTTAAGTATGTTTATAGTTAATTAAGTGATCTTTGCATGTTTGAGGAAACAATCGGAAACACAAACCGTGGCTGAAGATGTGCTTTCTCCCTAAGAATTCAGCGGGTGGAGTGCAGTGAGGGACGGAACAAACGTGTGTGATCGTGTTTGTGCGCCGTGTTTTTTTGCTGCCGCATCCCTGCAAGCGGCAGCACGACTCAGTCAATGAAAAGCACACCTCCAACCATCGATGCACACAGAAAAACCGCCCTTGTTATCCCTTGCCTGTGTCATCTACCGAGGTCAGACTCGTACTCGTCGGTACTCGTCCACTGGTACTCCCATCCTTCAGCTCCACGCTTCGCCACGCTTCGCCCTCGTGGAGCGGTCGATGCGCCTTGATGTAGCGGATCAGCGCATCCAAATTCCATTCCTCGGCGCCGCCGGGCCGCAGGGCCGGTCCGGGCCCGCGCGCGCTTCAGGGCCGTGTGGACGCCAAGCGCGAAGGGCTCCGAAGCAGCGAAGTCCTTCGGTCACGACTGCAGTGGACCATCCTCCCCTGAAGAGAGGTTGAAGCGACCTGAACTAGGATCCGGTGTGACCTGGGGTACCTATTTTAAAAAAAAAATCATCGAACTGGGGGATCTTCATGGATCTTCCTCAGGTTGGCCCGGCCATGACTCACTGTTGGGATTCTCACTTCCAGGTGAAGGTGTCACATCAGTCTCGGTCCCCGGACCCTCACGCGGAGTCCCACTCAGTCCCTGGCACGTTCCAGGGCACCCTGGAAGGAGTACAACTGCAATTTTCTCTCCTGCCCGGTTTCTGGCGCGGTTTTTTCGCGGGGAGGGTTTCGCGGGCGTGGCCACATGTGGAACAAACGGATAAAAAAAAAAGAAGCGGGCTGCTGGCCATCTGGCAAAGGGGGTGGTTTCGGTATGTTTCGAGGACACTTGTCCGAGAAGAAAAAAGAACACCAACTTGGGTCCATCTGGGGTCCTGAGTGCCACTCTTTGGATGCGAAACGCAGGCATCCCAAAAATCGAGCTAGCTCATTCAACAAGGGCGACTGGACCGAACGAACGAAGAGGACCCACCGTTTTTGTCGCGCGCGTTTTTGGCACTCCTGGCAAAGAATGATGTGGTTCGTGGTGACCTCACACGAACAGCTGTGGCGTGCTTCTTAGATCTGCAGTTTGGGGGCTCGTCTGCCTTGGAGGACATGGGATTGGGAGGTGACAGTGACGGAGGCTTTTCCAGCTCCGGATGGCAATCCTCAACCATCAGAGCATCAATGACTGGAGACCAACGAGATACTGGACCCACTCCAAGTGACTTTCTTTTGTCTTGAGGTGTACAGTGGTGTACAGTGGTTTCAGAGGAGATAGCACAAGTAAGTTACCCCAAATGTGCTGCAATGATGGACCCCCATCAAAGAGACATCGAACCGGGGGGTGCCGGGGGTGCCATTTCTCACCTCTGACAACCAGAAGAACAGATGATGTACAGCATACAGTCCCGGAAGAGTTCTCTCTCCCATCGGATGTGCCCTTGATCGGATGGGTCCATCTTGTTGAATTGGAGTAAAGAAATGGCCAGAAAATCCTAGTCATCAAACAAGGGTGAGACTAGTCGCTCGGTTTCGGACATCAGTGTGCCATAAGGAACCCAATCTGTGGCATGTAACAATGAGATCTTCATGCAGTTGAGGATTCTGAGCCTATCCTCAATCAATTGGTTTAAGGGAAAATCTACAGGAAACCCTTGTTTTCACCCAAAACGATGGATTTTCGTCTATATAAAGTTCCCCTTATACCAATTCTGGTATATCCATGGATTTCCGATGCTGCGGATTCTTCAAGCTTCAAGCTTCACTTAACCAGCGTGGCCGCCCACGCAGTCCGCGGACTCTGCGGCCACGCACCCAGCGGAAGTCCACCGTCTGGCCAAGGCCCGCACCACCAGCAAAGAGCATACAAATTTCTGCCTCAGCGTGACCCAAAACTCAACTCGTTGAGCTAGGGCCTACCAGGATGTTGGGAAATGAGATACAAGATATTTGTTACATACATGCTGTTACATGCTTGCTCTTTCTTTGTTGGGCACACTAGCTCTGGAAGTCTTCAATTGGTCTAAGAGTCTATTACCTTTGGGATCTTGCTGCCCATCTAAGGAGTCGCAAAGACAATCTGATTGGACTCCTTCAGTCGCAGGAAGGGTAGAGGAATGGTAGAGGTCCTTTCCTCTGATGCGTTGAAAACAGGTCCAAAACACCTTGGATTATACCAAAACACCTTGCATAATTGCGGCAAAAAACGTGGGATTGGTAAGACCTTTATCGGCGACTATCGATGTATCCACACTGCAAATGCCTCAACAATAACAAACAGGAAAAAG